AAAAAAAAAAAAAAACTCGCTAATCTGTGTAAAATTTTCTTATTTTACAACTTTGTTGTCATGGCAATGCAACACCTCAGGTGGCCACTAAGGAGGTGACCCGTGATGACCAGCAGGTGGAGACAGTCAGGACTGTAACGTCCCTGGTGGTGGTGGTCCAGCCCGTGGTGGGATTGTCCCCCGGGCCCCTCAGCGTGCAGCCCAGCATCATGGCTGTGGATGCAGCGGTGAGAGAGACACTTCCTGATTTCATTAAGAATACCTGAAACTGTTTTCAGGTATTCTTAATGAATACCTGTTGGAATTTTCAGGTGATTACTAGGAACCTGCACCTGGTATCGAGTATCTTTGTGTGTCTGTTTTCAGGGTGACTGCGTGTCTGTGGGGGTGACGACTCTGACCATGTCAGCTGTGCTCAAAGATGCTAATGGGAATCCAGCAGAGGGACTTCATGGAAACACCACCATCCCATTCAGTGACTGCTGGGCCAATTACACTGATTTAGCCATCTTTACAAATGGTGGGTAGCCTTAGTTATACAAATTAAATTTTTTGTATTGCTGTCACTTGTTATTTTAAGTGTTTACAGTAATTTCTCTCCCTGTACCTCTTTTACAGGTGAGAACTTGAAGTTGGCCTTTACTTTGAGTGAATGGAAGGCTGAGTCCAGATCTTTCACACTCAGAACAGCTACAACGCCATCTTCTGTGGTCGTCACTATGGAGGATGATGACTTCCCCAGCAGCTTTGACTCCAGCCCAACTAACTTGTCAGAGTCTGTGTATCTGCTCATGCTGTTGAGTGGTCTACTCCTACTGCTCATGAGACCCTAAATAATCACAACACACAGTGCACTCTCATAAATATATTCTATTGTCTTCTAATGATTTGCCTTTGTCTATATACTACTGTTTTCCCATATGATCATTATCTGTAAGCTACAACTATAAATTCTGAGCACATTCACTCATAATAACTGTAGAACAAAAACAACTGTTACTTTGAACAAAATTAAATATTT